ACTCAAAGGTAAGAGGCAAATGAGTAAGATATCACACTGAAAGATTAAGGATAGAAATACCTTCATAATATAAAAATTTTCACATCTTAGGGATTTCTCAGCTCATAAGTGACCCTCAGATGCTTTTAGGAAGACACAAGCGTTTGTATAAATTATGACTTTCAAGTGCACTCTTGGAATTGTCTGTTATGCTGAACATACATTTTGTTCCAATCGTAACAGAGTTTTTAACCACTTGTAAAACAATTTAGACATATTTTGTGGGGGCATATGGTCTATAAGCTTGAATGTATGTTAAAATAGTTCATCAAATCTTTGGAAGGTGCATTTGTTTAAAAAGAATAAGTACATTTAAACTTTCCTCAAGATTTTTAAAAAAGGTACATTTATAATATAAATGTAGAGTCAAGGGAAAGAAATATGGACCTCTTGCCATGCACAAACATGTAGTGAAAATACAAATAGAAGAACATTATCTGCTAGAATAGAAACTGACTTGCTAACACATAGTCAGAACATCAAGCTCACAATAGCAGGAGGATAGTCTAGGGTGAGAAGTGTTATGAACAGTTATTATTTCATTTCTAGTTAGCAGATATACAATTAACAAATTAAAATATATACCCAGTGAAGTGAACACTGCTGGTATATTCTTTCTCCCTCATCTGTACCACTTTCTGGACTAAATATATGTTAACATGAACTTACGCAGTCTCACAGAGATTAGTGTAAGAACAACTAGCAAAAATTAGGGCTGTGCCTAAGCACAAGTTTTCTGTGTTCTATTGAACTGTCAGCATTAAATACTCAATATGTCAGTGGACCAGCAGACTAGACCCTACTCTGGCAGTTTCAACAACATACCTGACAGAGTGTGTGTCTTTACAACTAGCAACAAAGTAGGAGACAGAGCCACAGTGACTTTTGGAGAACTGTCTGCCAGTCAAAAGTACATTCTTTTCCAAGCACTTTATATACTATGTAATGGAAAAACATGGATGCAGGGGGTTAAAGTCACTGCCCTACTTACAGTTCCACTCCAGAATCACAGTTACTTCCCCAGAATAAATTATCTCCCTCCTGAAGCTGCCATATTCCAAGCCAAGATCTATCAATTACTTCTTTGCTTCTCTGAACTCACAACTTCAGCCATCTTGTTGCCAATTGAACACCTACCTTTATTTGCTCTTTATGAGCTTTCTGTTCAGAATTAACCTCTCTGATAGGTTTCACTGAACCTAGCCTTTCTAGAGCCTCTGTATTTTCTAGTCTTTCCAATCATTTTACCCTACCTCCTGCTTTTCACCTCTATGCACTCTCCTTCCTTATTTCTCTTTTCCTCTACTTCTCTGTTACGACTTCTCTTTCTTTCCACACCATCACTTTTTCATCTTATTATTGCTAGCTCTGCTTATAAGCTACACTTCCCCTTCTTTTCTAAGGCAATCACACATGATGCATTTACTTGCGTTCTACAGCTCTTCTTGTCAATCCAGATCATAGCAGTAACAGCATCCTGTAACTACTTAGAATGCTGAGAGATCATCCAAGCCATGTAGAACATTTTTTAAATCATTGTCCTGTATAACCAAATCTCTTCTCTTCAAACTGATGAGAGCAGTTTCAAGTCTCTACAAATCTAATCTCAGGACCAATCTTCCTTTCTAACACACTTTCTGCCTTCAGTCTCTCATCATGCTATTTTTCCTGAACTCTTGCCCTAGCTTACACTGTGACTTTTCTGTTGCCTTTACTCTTGGCAGTTCATTTGCAGGATGATTCATCTTACTCATCCTGATGCAACCTTTCATGGGACTTGAAGAAACCTCTACTTTTAGCATATCCTTGTCATCATGCTATTGCATAAACTCTGGTGTAATACTGATCTCTCAGATGTAGTGATCATCTACGTGACTTAACACTACTTCATATGACCATCACTGTTTCTGTCTCTAAAGTACATGCCTATCATTCACCAGTTCAAGCTACAGAAGACCAAGTTTGAGAGGTGAAAGCACACACGCTAATCATCCCAAAGTAGATGTTTAAGTTAATTACACTGAATACACTTTTGGTCTTTTCTAAAAAAAGTAAATGAAAGGCCTCCTAACTGTTTTGCAATTAGCAGATACACCACCACCACTGTAATTCACACTACTCTGTCCACATTCTACCATCATCTTCTACCCAGTACTGTTGTAGACTCACAGACAACATCACTAACTCCAAGATCCAGATCTTTCCACCTTGCCTCCTTAAAATAGGTTTTGGATTAACTCTGGACAAAACTTGTCTTTCCACAAAACATCCTGGAATCCATTTACAACAGTGACAAATCTCAGTCTTCTCACTCTTCAGCTTAGCATATCCCACTTTCTCATTTTTTCCCCCTTATCTATACTGTAAGTTAAATAACTTATATTGGTGCTCTTCACAGATGTGTGTATTAATTCTTAATACCTTCTTGGTTAGACCTTCTTGTGATAATTCTCTGCATATAAGGCAAAAGGCTGCCAACCTTCCCTTACAACCATTGTTGACAGCAGCTTCTCTTACAAATGATTTGCTTTTTCTGAACTTGTATAATTGAGTCCAGGAACATACTTTATATAGGAATTGTATTTGTAATTGCACACATGGTATTAGTAAGTGCAGTGTAGGATTAACATGATGCAATAGATATTCTGAAATGTGACGCATCATCATCTCTATCTACTGCCTATTGTTCTCCTTAACCCCAGACAGCAAATGAATCAAAGGCTTTCTCCAGAAAGTAAATTTAAAATAGACAAAGGAAAACTGTGCTTATGCCTTGGGGTTTTCTGTATTTTTAATATCGAAATAAAACTTTCTCAGATCACAATAATGAATTTCTAGAATTATATACAAAATATTATAAATCAGCATCTTAGACTGAAGGTATAACCTCAGTCTAAATAGAACTATTAGAGTACAGGGTAACAGCTTTACTTTATTACTACGCATGGGAAGAAACTTGCTGAATCATTCAGTTTACTTGTAATCATTCAGCAACTATGCTTTTTTTCAACCATTTTTCTCCCTATCCCTAACCCTTCTCAGACTCCCAAATTAAGTTTTTTCCATCTCTTCCTTTATTGGGACAATGATGTGAATGAATTTTGCACAGTGTTTTTGTTGATAGCTACAAGAAACTTCTTTAAGGAAATTTGTTATGTAGGTTATCTATAATTGTAACAGTTGCACTTCAGAATTTATGTAAATATCCTCCTGGGAAATTCCAGTATAGCTTAAGAACATGCATAATGTCATAGAAGATGTACAAATACACTACTATGAATTGTCCAATGAAGAGTCTGAACTTCTGCAGCACACGTCATAATTCTAGCAGTCCTTAGTGAGTTTAAGATTATGTTTGCAGATGCTCTACTATTCACTTTGCTAGACCTACGCACCACTTGTCAAGGTTCAGAAAACCCTATTTAGTGGACTGTGGTAACTTTGTAACTGAAGTATGAAACCCTTTAGAAAGATTCACATGCATATATAGCTGAACTGGACAGGTACACCTGCTTTTCTTTGTCAGCTTAGTCCTTATAATATATGGATGCCCAGGAATCCAAGAACACATAAGCATGTGTATGCTGATATACACAGAGTATTAAAAAAGTATTAAAATAATTAAACTTCTAATAACTTCCCGTTCAGGGTTTCAACAACATTACTTGAAATCAATCACCATAATCATTCTACTGGATTTTTATAATGTTACATTTCTAATACTTTTTTTTTTGCATAAAAATGTGGACACATTAATATTGGTCAAGTAGTCACAAAATTAAAACTGTATGAAGGTCTTAGATGTCCTTTTACATGTTTTATCTCACTCCTAGTGAACCAAAAGTTATAAAAATGTTGGTTGACATTTCTTTAGGAATTATAGCAGTTCAGTGGACATGTTCTTTACAACAATTAAATGAAGGAGAAAAGAAGCCAAAAAAAACCCCTAACAATTTATTACTGACAATTACACGTTTCATCAACTTTTCTCAGATGTTCATTAAAGTTTAAAAAAAAAGCATTTCCAATGAACGTGAAAGATTAGTCATTGTTTATACAGTATTTATGTGCTGTATCACTAGATCAGCACTATGTATTACTATTTAACTATATAGATTAATTATTTTAGAGCTTAGTGGCTGTTCAAGTACATTTATTTTTCTAAGGACTACTCTGCAACTAAGACTTTGCCATATATGCTTTGGGAATAGGTCACAGCACTAAGACACAGCATTAGTGAACAGATGCACTACTTGCAAGAAAATTATTCAGAATCATTTTGAGTGCTTTCAGTACTAACATATTTTAATAATATAAAAAATAAACACATTTACTAATGATAGAGTTGGAAAAGGAAACTAGGGATATAGTGCTCAGGCAACAGTCATACTTGTCCATATATCACAATTCTTATTGTAAAAAAGACAAATGGATAACTGATAGGCTCAAAAAGATATACAGTCATGATTTCTGTTTGGATTCTTTCCCTTCTGTAGAGAAGCAACTTAAAATCTATACTGATAATGCAAGAAGTAATCCAGTGTTATTTCACCTAGCTTAAAAATAGCCCTGCTCATTTCAAAACATTTAATATAAACATGTTGTTTACATACATTATGAGAATATTACAGCAATACGCAAAATACAATGATTACTTGCTAAAGTTTACCAAATTGATTCTTGAAGGAACAACAGAAATCACACATAAAAGTACAGATGACTGGCATTTGTCTTGCTCACTCACAAAAGTGGTCACACTAATCTCTTAGCATATATTACATGCATATGCATAAACAGACCACAAACCTATAAAAATATGTGTTCACCTACAGGTAGAAAATTCTCAGTTATGCCTTTCTAGTCAGCATGCTAACAAATCAATGTAACTCACTTGTAAGTGACCTAAACATAGCCAGGACAGAAACAAATTAATATGATTCTAAAAACCTCCAGACACTCACCAAAAGACTGAATGCAGGTTTCAAGAAGATCTTCCAAAGTGGCCCCTTTGGCTAAGTGCCCCAATGGCACCATGGTGACCTGGGTAAGATTTGAAAGGCTGGGACAGTGACTGATCTGCTTCAGCTCAAGTGCTGATTCAGGGGCAGTGCTGCATGCTTGGGCAGGTTGCCTAAAAGAAAGCACAATAGTGAAGTAAACACGAGACCGAGTGGTAAATCTTACACTGCATGGGAAAGGAGGAGAAATTTAAAGGACAATTAACTCCCTGTAGCTAGGGTGCTGAAAGCCATAACCCTCCCACTTAACACGTACACCGAAGAGACTGCTCAGTAAGTGACTTTTTTTTTTGCTGCTAAATGTGGACTGTAGAGCACGCAGCTATGGAGCTCCTTGAATGATCTGTCAAGATTACCAGATGTCTTGTTGCTTTGCTGAGGAGTTAGGTTTACATTACGATTTCAGCACAAGTATAAAACCCCTTCAAACCCCTATGTAACAGGAATATTGTTATGCAGTAATCTACCACCACATATTTTTGTGCCCACCAAAAGTAAAGGAGAAAAAAATTATAACTATAATCCAATATTACACACATTGGAAATTGCCAGATTAGCTTTATTGATTTAATTTAGAAAATCACTATGAAGTAAACAAAATATCAGTGCAACTTTTCAGTGGAGTATTTCACAATTAGAAAAAAAAAAAAAGAAAAAAAAGAGATTAATCTGCAACCATTCTATACTATTATTTCCCACTAAACTGTTTTAAAATTGCGTGCATGACTAAGTTAATGTCTTTAATAATAAAGGTAAAAAAGACCAAAATAAAGCACGTATCTAGTTTTAGGCTTGTATTTTGATCATATAGTATCTTAGATTTCAAGAATAGGTATGTTTACAGGTAATATTAAAGGCTGTTCATCATTCATAATTCTGTATGAAATAGAAATCGGCACATTTTTATATTGATGAAAAGTTCCGTAAAATTTTTGCCTGCAAGTTACTGGAACCACTTCAAAATCTGACTTGAAAGTATAACCATACAGTTCACAAAAGGGCAACAATCGCTGTTGTTTCAATAAAACTTGGGTTTATTTCAGGGGCAATTTACACTCTAGAGTCTTCCTAAACAAGTGACTCCAGCACCTTTAAGATGCTATCTTAAGCTTTCGTACAAATTTTCTTGAAACACTATGCAAGACTTTATTAATAAACTGACAGTCCTGGGAAGAAAAGGCATAGAAATGTATCCAGGTTGCATATCCATACAGATAGGAAAGGCAGATACAAGCATCCCTGTATATGGGCACTCCTGGATGAAGGTGAAATATGGATGCCTTATGAAGACAGACTGGACCCTACCTCATCCCAGTGAAGCCTCACTGTAAATTTCTGTCTTGTCTGAATGCTGGGAAAGCCATGGAACTGCATTTGATGTCACTGACAACCCGACGCTGACCCCAGGCCCCCACAGTTTCAAAATCAGAAAATACTGGCCTGACCTTGCAGGGGCACTGACCATCACTCAGGGCCTCCGCAGTTAAACTGACAGTGGCTACGCAAAGAATGTTTTCTTCCCTTCCCCCTTTCTCTAAATTTCCCTCTTAGCTTTGTGATCTGACTTCCTGTTCTCATATAAAAAGAGCCAGGGCCCGAGCAGCTTTCAGGGTTTTCTTTTTACAAGCTTAAACCCCTCTCCTAATTTTTTTTCCAGTGGTCTTCAAGACAGGGCCGAGGATCCTAGCAATGCGGTAGTAATAAAGTAGGAGTTAGTGCAGAAGATACTTTAGGTCTTGGCAACAGAGCATAGAAGAACTAAAGTGTCCACACCCCCCAAAAAAGTTTACAATAGCACGACGGCCGACTTGGCAACGCCGAACAGGCAAAACTCCGGCGGTGACACTTCTGAAATGAATCATTCATTAGAACCGATCCCCTTGCAGCAGTTACTTGACATGAAAAAGAGATTAAAGCTGTGCTGGGGGGGAGCATAGGAGCCCCCCGCGTTTCCACCGCACGCTATTCGGCGGCGGGGAAGAGACCACATGCAAACGAGCGCAGCCTGTCTCTTATAC